CACATACAGGCAGCCATTTACACATCCAACCAAATTTGTATTTAACTTCAGCTTTAAAAATTCACCCTGAAACTATTCTTAAAAATATTTTTAAATGACAGAATTGGCTAGCCCAGGACTTGGTTACAATCTCAATGTTCAGATTTAGAAAATCCAGAGCTAGACATGTGCCATGTACAGTTCATTTGAACCGCTGCTAAAACCCAAACATTTCATGCAAATATGGATATAATAAGCTTCATCTATGCTGGGACCAAAACAGTGGCAAAGACCTCATTTTAGGTGAATGAATTTTTCAATCAAGTTACAAAGTAGCACTAGTGGTATATTACACTTGGGTCAACGAATCCATGTTGTGATACTGACTCAGGCAGGTAAGAGACAGAGGATTACACCTCTCATTAAGGTACCTCCTGACATCTGATTCAAAACAAAGGCAATGGCATTTGCCTCTATAAAAGCAAGTAGGTTTATGAGCACACAGAGATGAATTCCACGGTAACATACACAGAAGTAAAGGTAAAATGGTCTTTAGGGTTACAGAGCACAGTGGGATAATTCCCTTTAAATCCATCTGGACAGAAATCGAGGAAAGAACATGCTGTGATATAGGAAAAATGGTAAGTTACTGTGCAAGCCTTCACACATTTTGAAGCCAAGCAACAATCGATTTGCAAGACTTTGATAATATTACCTACCTTCACTCCATGTCCAATATCATCTAGAATTGTGTAATCAATAGGTTTTCTAATGTAACGAACCGGTCGCTCCAGGTTGGCTGGTGCAATAATTTTGTGGGTCCTTGAGGTGTTCTTATTTGTAGTCAAAATGCCAATTTCTCTTCTAGCAACTTTTTCTTTGTGAATGTCCACTGTCTGTAAAACATAATGCATTTACCAATAGAGCAGAATATTACGTGCAGATTTGACAAAAAATGTTCAATCCTAGGTGATCGTTTTCAATGTACTATGACAAAAGTTGTTTATCTTCTCTTCGTTCAACATACTGTTAGAATTTGCTATCTTTAATCATTTATTTATAATTAATAATGTCTTGCTTCTCTTTACAATTAAGCAAATTCCATATTTCAGGCTGTTAGTGGCATGGTTTCTCACTGCAGTAATTTATTCATCCTCAGGTGGCAAAGGAGAATACTGTTCAGAAAAATCAGACGCTATAAGTGGCTCACTAAGCATAACAGCTTGGCTCTTTTAAAGTGCTCAACATTGACCTGCCTATTCCCAATGAAATCAATAGCTAATTTCCTGGGCTATCCATGTGAACAGTGCTGATCTCATCGTAAAATCCCACTCTACACATGCATCAATAACTGTAACAGGAGCACTATTAGTATGCAGCAAAGTAGTAATTAAGAAGTCACAACTGAAAAAAAAAAAAAAGATGCTTCATCACAGCTCCAGAGATATTAAACAAATACAGGTGCAACATCCGGCTGGTACTTTGCATTTTCCTGCTCTCCACTTAATGAAAGACTCAATCATTTTTGTAATTCATCCCTGAAGAAAATGCAGTTACACTATCAGAAAATTTGGTCCCTTGCATGCATAAGTAACCTGTTTCTGAACGGCAGTTCTCAAACTTGCCTCTACTCTGAGCAACTTAAAACTCCCTTTCAAACATTTAACCAACTTGACTGTGCGCCTTTCATCTTCTACTGCAATACATGTTTAAACAGAAGTATCATATTTACCCAAATCCAAGACAACTTCGAATTTAAGACTTTAATTTAAATTATAATTTTCCATGTACAGATTCTAATTATTGGAAGGTTGTCTTAAATTCATCCCCCGCCACTGCTGAGACAGAGAAAGTAGCGAAGGGGAGCAAAGAGCCACGGCCCTACCCCTGTTCCCCCTCATACCTGTCTCTTCCCCCTCCCCCCCCTTATCTTCTGCAGCAGCTTCAGCTCCAGAGCAGTCCTGGCCTGCTTGGGGTCCCAGAGGCAAGCAGTGGGATGGGGTGGGGTGGGGTGAGGGCAGGTTGTACAGTCTCCTCCATGCTCCCCGCGCACACCACCAATCTCCCCCACATGCCCATGTCTCCCCTCTCCTGCCCCACCACAAGCCCACACCCTCAATGCATGAGCCACCTCAGTCTGGGGTAGGTGGCAACTCAGCCCTGGCTTTGGCCCAGGTCTGTGGCCAAAGCCTGAGCCAGAGCTGAGCCACTGCTTAACCCAGGTCAGTACCCAAATCTAAGACAAGCCTTCGCACCCAATTCCCATACTGATAGGTAGGGGGGACCTTGTCTTGGATTTGAGTGAAGATGGTAACATTACTTACAGTATTGAGAACAGATTGAAGTAATTTTAAAGACACTACTTAAGTCACCTTATTTTTCTTCTCACAAAGGCATAGCGTTCTACTTGGCACCAAACCTCCCCCCACTTTGTCTGCAACTCCAACTGTTAATCTCTCCAGGTCAAGAAGCACTATGACTTTGCTTTCCTTTTCTGCTATCACTCTAATTTTGGTATGATTAGACCCATATTGGTCAGATTTGAATTTACACCAAAGAACACTTAACATAAAGCAATATATGAAATAGTTATGCACAATAAAGAGGGGTAATGGATTCATTTTAAGTTGCTTCAAAACCTCTTAAAATTTTAAGTGCCTTGGCCTGGGTGATGACTAGGTAAAAGCCATGTTATTTTAAAAATTACATTCTTTCTTACTGTGAAGAAAAGCAGCTCTATGAGTCATAACCCTAGAGGTATGCCACCCCCAGGATATGAAGCTAATATTTTCAGCTAAACCTACATTGCTAACTTCACCTGAAGAAATTCACATTGTGAGTATGCTTTAGCTATAATAAACTATTCAAAAGGAAACTCGTTAAGACTTCTCTAGTAGCTTTCTTGTTACTACTTTAAAAATGAAATGAATGTTTGTGAATGGTACCCAAGTTCATTGTGCAGTCAGAAGGCAGGGAAATTCTACTTGCAAGAGAACAGAATCAGCAAAAAGATCTGTACCGATTCCCACAGTGACAAAGTAAGTTTTTACTGTTTACATTCCTGTTTGTGCTGCTCTCACCAAAACTAACAGTAAATTAGATCCTGTTTCAACCCATATTAGAAAGCAATCCTCATCAGGTTTCAAACAAGTATACCTATACAAATGTTTTGAACACAGGGTTGCACAGATGCCCTGACAAGAATAAGATATACAGGGCTAGTAGTACTGACAGTCAAGATAGCCTGATGTTTCCCACTAAAACTTCTTTCAGTTGCCTGTAAATTTTGCTGAACTAAACGTTGAGATGAAATTTTCAATGGCAGGTACATGCCACCTAAGGTTGAATATTTTTGAAACACTCAAGCCAAAATGATGCAGTTATTTCTGAAAACACAGCTAGAGGAAAAATATATTTTTCAAAGAAAGAAAAAAAAATCTAGTAACTTTTTCTTTGGAAAGCTCAAGTGCACCCATACTTTGGATCAAGGATTTGAAATACGAAAAAGGATTTGCCTGTGTGAGGGATGCACCATCTGCCACAGAAGTACACATGAATTTGGTCAGCTTATAGAAAACTTGGAAAAAAGTTCAATTTCCACACACAAAGCAGAGATTTGGAGATTAACAGCTAAAATCTTATAAAGATATGTCCTCACTGAGTGTGCATAAGCTCATGCATAAATAAATGATGCATCCACCACCCCACAGAAGGACTAAGCCTGCTCTATCCCCTTCACAGTGCTTACCTATGACTAGACTGCACATTCACCATACTCCAAATGCACATGCTGCAGGCCAGAGCCACACAAATCAAGGTGGGATATGACACCAGTATTGAGAACAGGAAGGCTATCTTTTGAGACAGGGAAAGACACGAGGAGGAGGGAATGACCAAACCAAAAGCCAGGGGAAAATGGGACTGAAAATCAATAGGATTGGAGGAGACAGACATTAGGGTAAAAGAGAAAAAAGAAAAGAGTGTGCAGAGACACTGGCAAAAGAAGCCAAAGGAAACGTGAACTAACTGGATAAAAAACACATGGAGGGAAACTATGACTATGAGCCAACAGGGTTGCTGGATGTGGAGCGGGCAAGAAAGACTTACGGTTCAAGGAAACAAATATCACAAGCCTGTGGGACTAATACAGAAGGAAAAAACTGGAACAGGGAGCCATTTCTGAGATACAAAGGAGGAGGGAAAAATTAGATGGTACGTTGGAAAAACAATTAAACTTCTAGGTAAATGCTCAGAAGAATTTCTCTTCACTAGAACACACTCTTCTTTTGACCTGGGACGGTACCCAAGATCCATGTGTCTCGCTAACACTCTGCTGTAAATATGTGGGAAACCCATTAGCAAAGCATTGCATCTCCTTTAAAGTTCAGCAACAAAAAGGATGAGACCCTACTACTACTGTCAGTTATTCCAGTAATTCAAATGGCAGAGGTCTGTGCGGTGAGCATAAGTGTTCCGGCCCTACTGAGGAAATATGTCACTATGATGCCCCATGAGAGAATTTCTATGGTTTTTTTCCCAGTTGGATTTTTTAATATTTCAGGAAATCACACACCAAAAACTACTTTAAAAAGCATGAAGGTTGCAAAGTCAAGCATTTCAATTGTTAGAAAATGCTAGAATTAAAGATTTCCTGTGCAACCTAAACTTAGCCCACTTGTGCCTATGTATTATGACAATCTAATTATATGGTCTCACACTATTTGTTTCCACTGGGCCCCTATTTCACTCAGCATGCTGTGCTTCACAGAATGGATGATGCCCAGTTACTGAACTATGCAGTATTTTATTTTCTCCTCAACTCAATGCATTAGTCCCATGCCTTATTTACTGAAACACTATTCAGAAGTTACTCTGAAGATGGAATTAATTTCTTCACGGAATTTCTGATCGTGCTTATTAGCAGAGAGCGCTTCACATGTTAATGAAGGTATTTTCACCCATGTTAGATAAATGAGTTTTACCCTCATACTGCAGAGAATTGAGACAGAAATGTCAATGTGCACAATACCTACTAATTTTGACAGTCCGATCTGGGATAACTATAACCTGATCTTTCAAAATATGTCAGCATTATCTAGCACTTCACATGTTCAAAGCACGCTCCAGATATTCAGCGCTTCTTCAAAACAGGCCAACAGTTTCTAGTTAGAACCCATATAATTAGAAACACAATAACTGAGCAACTATAGAAAGTTTGTTTCAAGTAACTTGGCCCAACATCACATAGGTAACTCTGCAGCAAAGTCAAGGATAGAATCCAGAGCAGCCTTAAACCTTCTGAAACATGAAACTGACCTCTTCCCACAATTCCCTTGCTCACACTACACATCTTCCAAAACATACAATAAGTTAGGGAGGAGTCCTATAGTCAGCCTTCTTCAGTGTACAACCCCATTCCATTAATAAAGCAGCTACCTCCAGTGCACTGAGGCCAACAGAGAGAGAGAGAGAGCATGCATGCATGCATGCAAGGGGAGGGGGATGACCCACTATGCAATCATGTGATTAAACAGTTTCAAACCACAGGGCAATAGGGAAAGTTAAAGCTGTACAGGCAACTCTAGTTTTACCATTTCATAAATTTACAGCATTTGACTTTGCAGCCTTAATATTATTTTTAGACATACTTTCTTCCCCTCAAGATGGTGAGCGTGCACATAGAGCAACCTTTATTAGCTATGTGACAAGATAAGAGGACAACTCAGTTCGACTCAGAATCTAAACTGGGTTTGAAGGCCTGCTAATTAGAAATATTTTTTAAACTTGTAAACCAAATATATTTTAGTCCTGGGGTCCCTCAATACAATTATGATGACTAAATATGCAAATAAATATATAGTGTCTATGCAAAGTTCCCAAACAATTTTTCTAGGAC